TGTCAAATTATTCTGTAGAATTTGATGAATCTTTCAAACTTTCAATCTGTAAATTTGATCTAAAGACTGAGAAATTGACCCTTTTACGTTTCCTTCATTAAGAATTTCATTAAGAATTCGGTGTCTTGAATTTCTGTACTATTGAGAGCTCGTAACTTTATAAGTCAATGTATTTTTTAACGAAACGAGTCTTAAATTAGAATTTTTAGAGAAAAATAGAAAGCTCAATCTAGACACTGACAAATTGGCTCTTTTCTATCTTCATGATTAATTCATATGAGTTTACTTAATTGTATTGTAATATAATGTAAAAATTATAATGAGGCCTTGCCGAAATTGAATTAATTATGTAAATCAGTGAATGTAATAAAGATTTCTTTGTAGTACATAAATCAAACATGTAAAAGCAGTTACTCGTCACTTGAACAATTTTTATTATTCTGTTACTATTTTCACACGTATAAAACACATCTCATATTTAATCACGGATGTATATAGGAATAATTCATCTTTATATGTTCTCTGTCCACGATTTATGCACATAAACAAGAAAATTAGTATTATTCCTTATTGCTTGTACAAATAAGTCGGATAGAAGAAGCGTGCGCAGGTTAACGCGAGATGAACGAAGTATCAAGGTTAGTTTTGTAAGTAGTGCATGGCATTGTGTCAATTTAAAAAAGAAAGTGTCGCAATTTTTCTCAGGAGAGGCTATAAATTACAGCCGGTTTCAAATCGCCGAAACCCGCATATATATGATATGAGAAAATATGATCGGATTCATTTATTAAATAAGTTTCGTCAAAATAATAGTGCGCGATGTTACAAGAGCTCGAGATACAAAACCGTAGGCCGTCCGGTGAAGAGAATGAAACTTTGATCGAGTGTATCGATTATCTTGATCCGTCGATCAGTTACGATGAGTTCTTCGCGAAATATTTAATGGAGAACAGGCCGTGCATATTTAAGTCGAGTATAACCGAGAACTGGTCGTGCAAGAGGCAGTGGAACCTGGACGGTGCGCCGGACTTCGATGTTTTGGATATATTATTCGGTAAATAAATAGTACACTACGGAGCTTTGTAGGATGATACAAAAATTCGAGTGCTTGCAAGAATATGTGGTATTTAACAAAATCAAAGAAATGCAGTTTTGGACGAGTAGAAATCATTTATGTTTATACTTGATTTATTGCGGTTGGGAAATATTCACAAGAGCTGAATGTAAATAATATAAATTTGTTGATTCACAATTTATATT